CCTAAACTCAGACTCAAAAGCAACTCAGCAAAAGACGACTCAAAGACCGACTCACATGAGACTTTTAACAGCCCTATTTATAGCTGACAGACGTTTATAAAAAATACATTTACCTTATGAATTATACCTGTAGCTTTTATCGAAAACTTTGACAGCAAACATAAAAGTTTGCATAGCAAAATAAAGGAAGAAAGACTTGCAGAAAGAACTACACTTTATAGTGTTGAACATGATAATATTTACTTATCAGTTGAATGTTAGAAAACAAGCTTTTATAGATTCATTTAATAAGAACATGAAGACTTAATCATTTAAACTGCACATGTTTCAGTAATAATGTACGCATTGTTATTAATATGTGGTAGTAATATTACATTTGCGAACTGGGTAAATATATAAAATTTTGAAAAAATATATACTATTCTAAATTCAGAGAAATTAAAATAATTAGCGTTAGGATTATTAGACTGTTTGCTACGGCTGGACTGATGGTTGAACCAGATGATTTCTTTTGAGTTTTACAATAACCACTGCTACCATAGCCAACGCAAACTTGACCCGCCTTACAGCAATAACCGTCTCCACAATCTACAGAACTGACGGTACAGTTACCGTTACATACGTAAGAGGAGCCGTCTTTTATGCACTCTTCGCCGTTCGGACAACATCCCGATTTATCTGGACATAAGTAATATCCGGCTGTTTCGCAACGGCGACTGGATTTAGCCCTTGCTTCCAAAGATGAGTTTCTGGTGTATATTTTGTTAACATAACGATTCCTCAAATCAGGTAATTCGTCTAATTCGTCTCTTTCCCAATTCAGGGATGCCGTAACAAAAGCGAAATTGATGAATATTACAATAATTATTAAAACAATATTTTTCATGACGAATTTGAATGATTTTGCTTTGTAGAATTTGTGTACATATTTATAGGTACATGCAGTAGAGTTGCATCATATCGCAACAGCTGTGTATAATTGTTTTTTCTTTTACCATCTTGAATGATATAAGGCCTCATAGTCATGCTAAATATATTATTAATCGCATAGAAATGAAATGTGTAAATGGGTTTCAGCTTCTATATTGCTATAAATATCAGGAAACTGAGACGTCTCATAACAGCACAATACAGAGCTTCATGTTATTGGTAGGATACAAGATTGGTATTTTGTTCACTTCCGTTTTGATAATTTTATGCTATTGGTTAATTTTCGTAGGACACATGCATTTTTGTTTACACATAATTCAAATACATGTATTACATGTCACCTGAAACACCTTTGAAAAACTTGCATGTAACTCGATTGAAAAATCAATCTGAGAATGGTCAAAATGATACAGAGAAATCATGTATTACGTAATATCCTGGGAGAACAAAGGAAGGAGGAAAGGAGCTACGATAGAAAACGAAAGAATATATATTAATTTTTCTCACGAGAGCTGACATGTGAGTTGTTAGTTGTGAGAAACATAACAATTGCAACGGTAAAACAATACATAGTGAGAGATCAAATTTTTTATCAGCCCAGCAAACGAAAAAAAAATACGGGAAACAGATGCAAAAATCTATGTTTGAACACTAACGCTAATAAAGAATGTTGGGAAAGCAAATTTACATATAATCATGACATTAACTCTAGCCCAATCCTAACTTTAAAATTAACCTTAACAATAACCTCTATTACCATAGAATTTTTCCGGATATACACAAATATCGTATGACCAGAAAATTTTTTGGGTATTAAATTATATGAATTATTCATTAAAGTTGAATTATATTAATAGTCCAATGGGATTGAGTGAACCTTCGTTTCCAAATTTATTAAAATTAAATTTTTTGAATTTCCAGTACGATTGCAGTAACTAGGTGTTAAAGATTCAGTCTCCTTTGTGACGAATGTAGTTGTGTACCACTCTATTCACTTCAGCTATGTTTGGATGAATTTTTGGAAAAGAAATCTTTAAAAATTCTGAATTAGCTTTCATCGTGCAGAGTTACTATTCTTAAACCAACCTGGCTTTGGAATTCACGTTAAGGATTTGGATAAGTCTAAAATTTTGAACACATACACAAATATATTCATGAAGTTATAAAATTGTGTACGAGAGCTTACTATACGGCGTTGATTACAGTATCCCTCGATTATAATCCCCTATGAATAAGAACGGGTATAATTCATAGGATTGTTTTTTGAAAAATATAAAGTTCCGGGCCGGGTATTATATAAATATTTTACTATGTATAGTGCTGAGTATATTAAAACATCCCATAAATTGTACCCTCCTCCTCAATCACACCCCATGCCGTACGGTGCAAGTACAAGGTGGATGGATTCCCATTTCAAGGTTAATTTATTAGTGAATCCATGTTTCAGTAATGCAGACTCCATTTATTCTTGAAAATTCCATAACAGCGTTTTAACTTAGTGTTATATAGAAATTTATGATTGAAAATTCCCTTACAAAAAAAAATCTGGCTTAGCGTAGTTCCAGTTAACTAGAATCACTAGCATCTTTTCTAAAGCGCTCAGTGATTGATTCAGCACGTAAATTATAAATAATAATTTCTTTCAATGCTTCCAATAACTAAATGGCATGTCCAGCTAGTCTTTTAAAATTTGGCAATATAATGAAGCAAGGCGAATTTTTGAATATACTTTACTTTTGGCAATAATGTTGCATTGAGAGGCTATTGTTTCGAGCGAAGCTATATTCGCAAATTTAATTTATGTTTCCAAATGGGAGTTTCGAAACGGTTCAGATTTTGAAAACCAGAATGCTAGAGAAACTGCTAATCAATTGGTTAGATTTTGAAGGTATATTCAGGACATAAAAATCACTTGTAACCGCAATGGACAATATTGATTATTTATAATAAATATCTTTTTGAGAATTTCTTAAAAAAGATTTTTCATTTCGCAATATCTTTTTTTTAAAAAAAGATTTCTCATTTTGCAATATCTTTTTTTTTTTAAAAAAATGAGCTTATTTACTATAACATAGTGATATAATTGAAGGAATAATAAAAAAATCAAAATTCTATTTATCTACGTTAAAAACTGTTTTGATTTGCGATCGAATAAAGCGAATTGAATTGAACGAATGAATTGAACTAATATCAAATTGAATTTAATTGCAACGAATTACAGCGGCTCATACATGTAACGGAACACGAAAATTAACTTTCTATGGTGCATAACATCTAAAGTCATCAAACGTTTGTGTTTTATAAAATGTATAAACATCTTTACTAAGAAGTAAATACAAAATTTAATCCGTGAATATTCTCAGAAAGAGCCTATTCTATCATATTCACGGATTAAATTTTGCATTTACTTCTTTGTAAAGAAGTTTATACATTTTGTAAATTACAAACGTTTGATGACTTTAGATGTTATGCACCATAGAATTTTTATTTCCATGACTATCAGTTCGAACAAAATAAAGAAGTGTTCATTTAAAGCCTTGAAACCTCTACTATTTTTAAACAGATTATTTTGCAAAATAAAGTGATTTAAATCAAAATTTATAATTAGTAATTTCTCACTTTTTTTAAGACAGTGTTGCGGCTACTCTTTAATTATTGTAATTAGAGAAGAGCACAACACAAATTGTTTGAGCAAAGTCTGAATGATCTACTATTAAAGGTTTCTTTATAAGTTTTAAAAGTCTTCTGTGACAGCTTTTTCGAAAACTGATTATCACAGAAACTAAGAAAATTCAAAATAACTTCAGGACTTATTGATATGGCCTGAAAAACAATAACAAAATCACTAATAACACTTTAAATGAAAGTGATTGGACTTATTGATATAGCCAACAAACAATATACAAATTATAAAATACAATAATCAAAATTCAATTATGCTTATTTTGTTACTACTGTAACAATATTATTTTAAAGTCAAATTATTATGATAATAATTTTAATAAATTAATAATATAATTATACTTAACAGTGAAAAGAATATAAAGTAAAGCAAATATTAAACAAAAGAATAAATAAAAAATGAAATATCAAACTAATTATTTAATATATAATATTACAAAATATGAAAAGATACAAATATTCAAATCATTTTAAAAATAAATTAATAAGAATATCAAATTTTAAGAATAAAAATATGTAATAAAATTCATATATAGTTTATTATATTATAAACTGGCAAAATTAATATTATATAATTATATATTATATTAATTTGATAATATAAATAAATATCACTTTTAGAATTCTTATTAAATTTATTAATTAATATATTTAATTTAGAATAGAAATTAAAAATAAAGTTATATATTATTTTATATAACTTTAATTTTTTTTGTTTTTATTTTCAATAAATATAATAGTAAAATTTATTATTATAATATAATAATTATTTTTATTGTTATATTAATTATTTAGAATAATTATATTTAAATATATATTGAATTATATAAAATAGTTATTGTTATATATGTTTGTAATTAGGTATAATTAATAATTTTATTTATAATAATTGAGAGGAAGAGAGTGTATAAACTAATTTGTACTTCTTAATTATCTAATTCCTATACTAATATCTACAGATATCATCAAATTGATAATATTAAAGAGAATTTGTATTTAGATAAGAGAATTTAAAAGAATCAGTTTTCTTTGATTTTAAATAATAAATTATTTCTATTAATAATAATAATTGCTTTTTCTAGACAAAAGTCTTAAATTATTTTATATAATATATTTTACTATCAATTAATATACTATTTAATCAATAATAATATCTTTTTTGAATTAAAAGATCTAATCATTAATCATTTTAATCTTTTAACAAAGCTATTGTTACACATTTTTCACTAATAGGGTAATTAGCTAATAAACGCGAACAAGGGTTGGGAGAGATAATTAAACAAATAT